CCTCCCTTTTCTTGCTTAGTTGTATTAAAACTCTTAAGCTATTATTCTAAGTACTTTTAAATACTTAAAACTCTTGAAGCAACTGATGAAATTTTCTCGAAAATTTCAAATTGCTTCATCCCTGCCTTCTTAGAAAAATTGTTAAATGATGAATTTTGTTACAAGTTTAAGCATTGGCTGATAAAGAGAGATGGAGATAGTGAGTTGGTTATATTCATATATATCTATATGATTACATGTATAGGATTATATATATTTAACACATAAAACTGTCAGGATAACTGACAATCTAAACTACTACATATAATAAGGTATACAGTAAAATACAAGTTTAGATTTACTTTAAAAATCGTTTTAAAAGTTCTGGAATATGTCCTGATTACTGGTGGCTATCCATCCATATAATGCACACACTTTCCAATAAGCACAATGTTCGTGTGGGTAACAATGGTAGTCACAGGTTATCTGCTCACTGCAGTCCAGACATCTGTAGGGTGGGCATCCGTACTCTTCTACATCTCTGCAGCAGCTGTGCCTTTTCTCTGCCCATGGTGTATATCTTCACATAGTCCTGCCTTATCTCCTGGCGAATCCTTAAGAAGTCCAGCATGGAATAGTCTCCATCAGTCCAGCAGAGGCCGTGGAGATACACAGTACACCACAAGATGTGTCTTCTATCTGTATCACTCAAGCAATACTCGAGATATGGAGGCCTGAAGCAACAGACTTCGGTCCATCCTGAATGGCAGTCTTTAACAGCTAACTCCTTTATCATGTGTTGCCCATTAATCCTAAAACCTTCCACCTCTACGATGGCAGCTCTTTGTTCTTGTTTCCTATTATTATTAACAGAAAGTTATTATTACTTGTCCCAGTGAAGGGTTATTCAGTCACTTCACTCATTCTCTTGTTCATCTTAGTCACACACATGTCCTTCTGGTACATCCATCTATTCGTTTGCACTCGTTATTTAAATCACTTCAATCACTCTATTCAAAACACTTCAATTCACTAACACACTATTAATACTTGACATCTGTTGATAGAAATTCCTGTCTTTCCGTGTAGTTTATTTCTGGATTCGTTGTACTATCTAACCATCTATTTTCGTCTACTGGTCATAAGCTTC